TCTGCCTGCATGTATGTCTGCACACCAGAAGAGGGCACCAGATCTCATTATAGACAGTTGTGAGGCACTGCGTGGTTGCTGGGAATTAAACTCTGAACCTCTGGAAGAGCAGTCAGTGCTCTTAACCTCTGAGTCATCTCTCCAGCCTGCCTCTTAAAAAAATAAAAAATAAAAAAACAGGCACACAACAGACAACTACTTTGAAAAGTGCTGCCCAGTTCTGTGGTAGTTAGAATAATCCTCATTTGTCAAATAGAATCCTAGAAAGCGGGGGGGGGGGGGCAGAGCTGCATGTTTTGATTTCATATCTTCTTGAGAAAGTGACCAAACTGGTATCCATGTTTTCAGTTCTAGTTAGGGCTCATTCTTTACCTTTGTCTTCTTTTGGGGAGGGGAGGAGTGGATGAGACAGGGTTTCTTTGTGCAACAGTCCTGGATGTTCAGAAACTCACTCAGTAGACCAAGTTGGTCTCAAACTCACAGAGATCTGCCTGTCTCTGTATCCTGAGTGCTGGGATTAAAAGTGTGAGCCACCACTGCCCAAACATCCTTTACCATTCTTGAAAAGCTTCCAATTATTATTGAATAAAAGATTCATGTGCATCTCTCTCTCTCACACATCACATGCATGTGTGTGTGAGATGCACATGGTGTGTGTGTATGGGGGATAGTCGTGCTACTGGGCACACGTAAGTCAGAGACCCTAACAGTTGGCGCAGTGGCTCCCAGGCTCTTACGTCTCCACTCTCCACCTCACCACAGGAACCCTGGGTTAGAGATGTCCATCACTGCACCCAGCAGTGGGTTCTGGGACTCAAATTCAGGTCCTTAAGCTTGGATGGCAAAACTACCAAGGACCTTCCCAGCCCCGGGAGGATGCCCAGTAATCCCTTCAGGCAGAGGCCACAGCTGCATTTCCTTTTGTGTAACAGACACAGTGAGAACCTCACTTTGTAGACCTTCAAAGAAAACTTATTTTATGGAGGAAACATCAGAGAGAGCTGCAGAAACTAACAGCTGGAGAGCTCCGGTGCCGTGCGCACCGTCTCGCTGCAGCAGGGCCATGGAGCTCCCCCAGCTGCAGTTTGCTCCAGTGTTTGCTGAGAACTGGAGTCGTACCTCAGGACTGGAGCTGAGATCCAGCCTAGAATCAGGCATGCGTTCTCGCTGCTCTCTCCCAAATCCTAGAAGCACGGTTCTTCTAGTTGTCGCTCCTTACCACAGCTCAGCAGCGGCCGACTCCACATGAAGTGTGGACAGCAAAAGAAAGAGTTGCCTTGGTCTGCCCTTCCACACCAGTGTCTCTAAGTGACATTTATAAGTGATTGATTGTGACACTCAATTTAAATTTTAAATGGAGTGCATTCAAATCAGAAATGCCTTTACAAATAAAAAATTAGGACTACCATTATTTACTGCCAATAGCTGACTTGGTCTGAGACTCATGTTTTTTATTTTGCAAATTAAATTACAAACCAATATAAATGAATGCTTGACTTAAGGACCTCAAACATCTGAATCATTCTCTTCCTGGGTGTGGCAAGAAACTTTTCTACATATGCTGAAACTCTAAAAAAGCAAAGTGATTTGAATACCTACCAAAGAGAAAAAGATAAATAAAAGTAAAACACCAAATCCAAGCGATATCTGGGATCTAATCTCTTTCTTGATGAAATCTATCGACTGTGCATTGAGCCATTCCTAGGCTAAAGCTACTATTCAATCTCTGCTATGTAAAATATCCTCTTATTACTACACTAATATCGCCATCAAACTGCAGAATAACCGACAAGAGTTCCTGGCTTCTATGGCAACCCTCAGCAAGGGCTGCTGTTCTGAAATTGCCTCTGACCCCGGTTGGAGTCAGAGGAGCATGGCAAACAAGCCCTGTAGTATTGTTTTAGATGAAGCACAGAGATAGCTCCGCACTTCCTCCAGGCTTCCTTCCTTCGCGAACGAACTCCAGGGAGCGGCACCACGTCAGGCTTTCCAGATGGATTATGTGAAGCCATAGCTCAATGTCATTTTCAATAGGAAGCCTCATAATTAAAGGTCAAATAGTCACTTCATCTGCAATCAATCAATAGAAAAAGTACTAATACGAAGAACTAATCAATCAATGGCAAATGCGCTAATAAAAGCAATGAATCAAATTCAGCATGTGTGTAGATGTGAGTACATGGAAGAGACCAAGACAGGGCGAGGTAGGAACAATAAAATAAACCAAAGGTGAATGCATGGAGGGTACCCAAGCCTCACCAGCTACATGGGTGCTACTTGACCCACGATAGGCTGTTCTTAAAAACATACTAAACAAAATAATAAACTCTAATTTCTAAGTTTCCCCTAATGTATTTTACTTGATATCTGTGTGTACATGTGTGTTTATGTGTGTGGTTAAGTGTGTGTTTAAGTGTGTATGAGTGTAAACCACTACTATGACAGTCTTTGCCACAGGAAATGATGCATTTCTGAAGTGCCAAGCAGCTACACTATAATCTGTTTTATTTCATCTTTGTGTACAGACAAAAAATATCACTCTGGGTGATATTATGTGAAATTTCCTTCCACTTTCTGGTGTGTGATATTTTTTCAAACTGCATGAGCCACTTTTCCAATCCAGCACAGACAACAATTCCCATTTCAGCAGTGATAGGCATATTCTCTGCCACCCCTGGTACATAGGGCCACCAGGAGAATGGGCAGAGCAAACTCACTGAGTTTTACAAGTCCATTCTGATATATGTGGAAATAATATGTTTTTCTGATATGTACCAATGAAGTGTACCAAGGAGACTAGAGCAGGAAGCAGAGTGGGACCAAGGATTGGCAGAATGTAGGAACTAGAACTAAAATTCTCTCACTTTAGACCTGAGGAAGCTGAAGTCATGCGAGGTACTCAGGTCTTTCAGTTCTCCGAGAGCTTAAGGCCATCAGGTGTGAAGTAGCTAAGTCTTCCATTGTGTCGTCACTGGCAGCCACTGTCTCTCCATCACTGTGCGGTCACTGGATTCCACACGGTCACCATCACTGTGTGGTCACTGGCAGCCACTGTCTCTCCATCACTGTGTGGTCACTGGATTCCACACTGTCTCACCATCACTGT